ACCGGAATCGCACAATCCCAAAAATTAGAATACATATTGACGATTTTTAGAGTATGGTTTTTACAGTGTCTCCTCAAATTAATAAAATTTTCTTTTTTAGTAGTTTTATTTTATTATTTTGATTAATAACCTCCTAGTACTTATATATAAATGTCGCGTTCCCGAAATTGGAATATGTATATGGGGGGTGAGGGGGTGGTTAGATGGCCGATGCTGGGGGGCAGTGAAGCAAGTGGTTAATCCCGTGTGTGTATGTGCCACACATGGCCAGAAGATAGAGAGGCCAATTTGAATCCAGGGGAGTCTAGAGTATAGCGACGAGTGTCCGAGTCTGCGACTAATTTAGTGCTAGCTTGCAAACGTTAAGAGATGTCGCCTTATTTTATAGCTCTGAAGTGAAGATCTTCAAATTTATTCATTTTTCTCCGGTTAAGGGATAATTTTTCTACATTAAAAATAGTTTTAAACATTGGTTTTTTGAGGATTTTCCGCCCTCTATTGACTAGCATTTTCAAAATATCGAAAATATTGAAAAAAGTATATTTTTGGGCTTAAATCAATTATCTTAGTATATTTTTACGTTCTATCAATATCATTTTCAAAATCCCGAAAATTTTACAAATTTAGCTTCCCAAGTGGGACGCGAGATACCAGGCGATTCAAATATTTATTCGAAAGTGCTCCGTCCGGGGGGTCCGATAGCGTGAAATCGATGGGGGGAAATGCCATGATTCATGCGTTTGAGCAAATTCCCGCCTTCGCATCTTCCCAACATTTTTTATCGAAGTCTTCCCATCGCTTTCTGAAAATCTATTCTTGAGGTACAGAGCTACCCATAAAATTTTTTCTTATTTAAGGATTTTATGAGCTTGAATTAGCTAAATTAATAGCTTGAATTTTCTTATATTTTGATATACTGATTAATGGGCAGTCGAGAGTATTTAAGATGCGTGCGTGCCACCGGATTAATTTCGAAGTGAGCCTGGGATGTTGGGAGATCTCTGTATGCCTCTCCCCCTCCCTCAGATTTTCAGCGCCTTCGATTTCGATTCAGGCCCACTAAAAACAATCGTTGACACACATACTCGATAGCGTCAACTGGAACGCTGATTTCCCTTGGTAGCAGAGCATTGAGCACCAGTTATGTAGATCAAGCCAACCCGTTCCAAACAGTTGTTTCCGCTTTTTAAAGAATATACCGGTTTTTAAATAGGTAATTTTTCAAAATTATCAATAATTCAGTAACGCATAGATTTCTCCATATTCATTAACCCTTGAAACCCAGACTAGGGGCATTCGAGAAGCTGTCTAATTGGGATGGGCTTCCGGCCATGGTGTATAAGGGCCCATTCCAGAGTTCCCCCTCCCCCTTTACCCCTCTCACCTTCCCACAATTATCCTGGGAGACACAACGCTACTATTCCAGTCAGCTTACACCCTCCACAAAACCGATATTACCGCCAAATGGCCTAATTTTACTTCTAATTCCACGCTTTATTAAATTTTACACTCCTTACATAATGCTTTTTTTCAGGGAAACGATGAGTCACAACCACCAAGGTCCTCCTCTGATGGTCAATCGCGGGTTCTTTGAGGAGAAGCGGAATGTGATTCGTGTGTGCCAAATTGTGAGTGGTTTTTTCATTACTATAAACTTAACCAACAAATTAGACCTTGATAAAGATTCAAAAACCGCTTGGCGCCTAATTTTCATAGATATCGCCCCGTCGGAAGAAAATTCTAGAAAATTAATATAATAAGATTAAAGAAAAAATTTTTGAGAAAGTGGAGTAGCCGATTCCTCAACAACATATTATTTTTTATACCATTTAAGTTTGGACTTTTAAAGCTTCAAATGTATTTTAGTTTTGTTGAAATTGAAATTTAAATCTTTTGCAGTTTGGATTTTTCGAATCGAAATCTTTAGGTGGTGGGTATCTACTGCGCTCTCGCGAATGCCTACTGTTTCCCAAACGATTTATTCCGCGAATGCTCCCATCTCTACCACTCGTTCCCACAAGTATTTTCGGTTGGTTTTGCGCAAAAAGTCGTAATGATTGAATCTAAAAATTTTAGATCGTGTGCGTAAATGTGTTCTTCTGCGTGCTCACAACAGTTATGGTCATTTTTGACGTGTTTGGTGTCTCGCAGGCTTACTACAAATACAATTTCCACCTGATGGTTCGTTTTCAAGCTTTAATGCTATGATTTAAAATTTATCTCAGCTAATTACCGTATATTAAATGCGATTATAGACACTTTTAATGGTTTTATTTAAGTGTTTTAACTTTATTCATTTAGGAACGTCTTTTCTCGACACTAGCAGCTGCTGTATACTGCATATCAGCTCTGTTTTTGCTGATGGCGCTATTCCAATCGACCTTTGTCATTCAATGGCTCTTCACACTTGTGAGTTCATATGATAACCTACAGGGTGACATACAAAAACTATACATCCGGAATTGAGCCGCCTTACATCCGATCGGTCAGTCGAGAAATTGGATCATAGGTTTATCAGGTCCGAAAAAACAACAATCGCCACTTATCGTCTCATAGCTACAGTAGCTCTTGAGTTATAGCCAAATTACTGGTTTTCGAAGATTATTCAGCTATTTTGTCGGCTACCTTTTTGAAGCTTGCATCGGTTACCATCGACTTCCAGCTGTAAAAGCCGTAATTTTGTTTAGAAACTTGGTTAATTTTGCTTCGTAACAATCGTTTAAGTCGACACTTATTTGATTAATTTTAATGCTGAAAAAATTTCATAGGGTAAAGAAGGCCTGCGGAATAATTTTCCCTTAAGAGTCAAGAGTCGTATCCCATTGGAACCATATGAAAACAGAAAAATCAGTTTATTTTTGCTATACCTGGAGAACTACTGTGGCTATGGATTTTGGAGCTATAAGTCCGGATTGGTGTTATTTAGGGTCAGGTACACCTCTGGCTCAATTTTGGGGCCAATTGGATGCAGGATGGATTGCAATTTTGGATCTTTTGGGGCAAGCTATAGTTCAGATTTAGCAAAAGCTATAGTAAAAAGCTAACCTCAAAATTAACTTGCAGATGGGTACCGCGCTGAACACTGCTCTCTACATTTACGATGCCGTCGATCGATTTAAGAATGATCCAACCCGGGGCTACTAAACAACACCCTGGAAACATATCGAGACCTAAATATCAAAAAAAAAAACGAGGAGCGTGCGTGTGTGCCTGGGAACCCATTAAATGAAGAAGAAGATGAATGATAATCCCGTGTAATTTAATTCGTCATGTGCCATATTCGATGTCCTTCCATGCCATCCAGTCACATATCATACACGGGCCCGCCTATATTAAATGTGGGTCGGCGCAGAAATAGGTGCTTGTTTGACAAAATGCATATGCTTTTAATTTATGTTATACACAAAATACAAATTTCTGCGTCTATCCCGTTTAATGTATCTACCTAAAAACCATAAATCTTACCTTCAAATACCTTGACCATTCCCTCACTTCTTACGGAATTTTATACCATTGGATTTGCGAGGAATAAATTGTTTTCTATACGTTTTAGGTTGTATTTACATTTAAGAAATATTATTGCAACTAAATCATCATCTTTTATGATGTAATCTGGCAAGCCTGCCGCAAGCTTTTATAATCTGGCAAGTTTGTACAAAACGGCTTAATTTGAACCTAAAAAGTAATTTATTTTTTAAATTCTGATCTATTTATCTTTAATGTATATTTACATTCGAGAGAAATCTTCTATAGTATAATTTTTTATATTAAAACGTTCCATATTCAGAAATTGGATTTACAAAGCTGTTAAACTTTTTGTTTTTATCTATTTATTTTTTAGCATAGTTAAAATTTCACACAAATCGTTCAAAATATTATTCGTTATGCACAAAACTGTCGTATCCATACTTTTCATTTTTATTGAAATTTCGTCGATGCAAAAACTATATGCGATAATTTAAACTAATTTTTAACTTTTCTGAAATACTACCTTTATCCAAGACCTCAACCCACTTCTCGAATGCTAATTCATTTCATCAAGGTGACTTTTGGTGGATGACGTGGTAGCTGGGAGAGTGAGCCTCAGAGTGAGCGTCTGCTCCCTCTCTATTTCCCCTGAACTCTCGTTTCTCTGCAGGATGCCCTGGCGGCCCTAGTGGCATAATGGGAAAGGGCCCACCCTCCCCGACATCGATCCAGCCTGCCTCCAGCCACCCCCCACCGGAAACCATTTTCCGCCATTTGCCTCGCACCCACCTCCATTTTCACGATTTTTCTTGAGAGCAGTGATAATTTTTGACCGGCGTAGTCTTTTCGACTTTAGTTGAGGCGATATATTTTTTAATAACCGATTTTTGGGAAGTTAAATCAAAAATTAGATTTTGTATATTATAGGTATTACTTTATATTATAGTGGCCAACTTTGAAAGGTAGTCTAAGATTACGGGCATTATCTAAATAGTGTACAGATCTTGTTACTCCTTATACTTGTATACAAATGTAAAATGGAAGCAGCGCGGAAAAGACAAGAACTTCCGCTTTTTCAAAAAAGGCTATTCTTAACGCTAAACTGTGAATAGCGTTAATTTAATAATATGTATCATATTTAGTAATTTTTCAATATTTTTAAGATCTGGAATATTTATTCAAACGTGATATTGAATCGTCGCAAGTCCCTAGCCAGCGGAAATACCGGAATTATTCTTATTCATTTTTTATCGAATAAAATCGATATTTCTCTTACTAGAATGTATATAAAGTGTGTCATGTATTTAAATTTCCATTTAAACCAAAAAATTTGATCATTTATTTGCTTTTTACAGAAATTTGCTGACTGTGGCGCGAGCGATTGGCCGCTTGGGGGTTCGGAGGGCCCATGGTGGCCGGCTCCCCTTCTGAAAAAATCCGTCAGCAGCAAAGGTGCGTACTGTCCACCACCACTCCGAAGAAATCTGGCTAAAAGCTCCTGAAAAATGATTTAAATTTTTTGATTTATTTAGATGAACGACGGTTTCCCGCAACAAAGCAAAAGCGGCCATCCCTACGGGTACCCTATGCAATGCAACATCACCAAGTAATCATTTTGCTATAGAAGGCTCGTATCGTGATTTTTTAGACAATTCCTCGAACTCAGCGACGAAGATCGAAAATGTTTGGAGGAACGGAAGTACTGGTGCTTTATGCTCAGCAGGTAAGTCGGCCTTAAAAAATGTTCTATATCGTCTGTTTTCACCTTTAATTATTTTAATTTCTTTTCAACTATCTTGACTTTTAAGAATTTTACTATCGTAATTTGCATATAAGCGCTGAATTTTAAAGATGTTGCAATACCAAGCTAATTAAAATGCAAAGAAATTATGCAAATTTTAAGACAAGAAATTCAGTTTTTTCTTAACCCAATTTTCTGAAAGTTCAACTTTGCATCCCTGGTTTGCCTATGACTCCAAAGTCGCCGCGCTATGCTGGGCTTAGGCTTCGGCTTAGGTCTTAAGATAGGCTTACGCGGGCTTATGCTTAAGCCTATGGTTTGGCTTAAGTTTAGGCTTCGGATTCGGTTTCGTCTTCGACTCCGATTAAACTCAGGCGTAGGCTTCGGCTTACGCTTATGGTTTGGCTTAGGCTTAAATTTAGGCTTAGACTTAGGCTTTGGGTTCGATTAAGCGTAGACTTAGGTTTAGGTTTTCGCTTAGACTCAGGCTTCAGCTGATTAGGCTTCGGCAAGGCTTACGTCACTAATTTTCACCACTATTAATATCTACCCACCCTTGTCAGCCGTAATTTACCCTTATTACCCCTTGACTTGTGTCTACGGGCCGAGACAAGGAAGCTGCCAGTGCGGGTTTTGGGCGCGTGTCTTTGCTTGGGCTGGGGATGGAGGGAGGCATTACACAGGCAGATAATGCTCACTCTCACCTGTTCTCGTGTGGACCCCAGAAAATAGACGCCAAGGGGGGGTACGGGGCAGTGACGGCGGCCCGCCGCGGCGGATCGTCTCGGACTTTACAACCGAAGACGGGATTGTTGGGGACCCTGCTGGTATCCCAAAATCCCTCCAGATGGCCGCGTCGGCATGCCATGTGGCGCGAAAAAATTAGGAAACACTTGCAGCATGGTAGGAGGTTTGGGATTGACAAGTAATCTTGCGCGAAAGTGAAATTTGGGGTTAAAAATGTGTTTTTCGGGATAGGGAGGCTAAAACGTGTTTTTCAAAGATCCATTCAAGTCCCAATTTTTAAAGATCGGATATAGATACGATAGTATCGCTTAGTTTATCCGGAATCCCGGAAATCCCACCTTTTTGGGTATAGGTTACTTATCGGGGGGGAGATAATGGGGATAGAAATAACTTTTGCCCTTCTAGAGACTGGCTGTGCCTATTCGAACATGCCATCGGATAATACTCCCAAAATTATGCCCAAAGTTTTAATTTTAGCTCGAAATAACATTATTTAAAATTAGTACTTTATTACAGCGAAATAGATAGTAATTTAAAATAGTTGTAAATTAAGTTTTTCACGCTGAAATTAAAATTATTAGTATAGTTTTTGATGCTTTATCCGATGGCGTTTCCAAAATAGTGGATAAATTTTAGATATCAAAAAAAAATCGTTTTAAATTGAGCCTTGCACACTACAATTAAATCTGTTACGTCAATTTTTGACGCCCTAACCGATACTGTTTTCTAATTTACAAATAACTTTCAGAAAAAACAATCCCCCCGTTAAGTAACCTTTACCGATATTTGGCTTTTTCCTGCGATTCTTCAAGCAATCCTACCATCCAAAAAACATAGTTGACCATGACATCATCCTTTTTTGTGCAACCATATCCCCCTAGTCCAAAAAGCCTTTTTGCCAGGCATAGTCGTCGGGTTATTGTGCCTTCCCTCAATCGTCTCCCTTCTTCCTCTTCTTCCCCCATCTTCTCCTTCTTCTGGGTTTTGCATACGGAATGTCCTCGTCGTCCCCGTGGTCCCGTTTTGGTCCCTAATTGCCGAAAGACACGGCCCACAGCGTCCTCCTCCTCCTCCTCTTCTTCCCCTAACCACCCGCTCGCTCGCGGCCATCCTAATTCTTCACAAACGAGGCTCAGCTCCCGTCGAATTTCTCGAAGTCGGCTGGGAATGCTGAGTACACCTACCACAAAACTAACATATTACATATAGGAATTGGGCAGTGGGAATAGAGGAGAAAAATTATAAAAGTGAGCACAGAAAAAGTACACAGGGTTCCAAGAAAAAGCTTTATCCGGGATTTCGTCGCCTTAAAGCCAATCCGTCCAAAAATTTGGCAAGTGTTGTAACGGTATCTAAATAACAATAATTATAAATGATGATAGCACAACAGCTACTGTAGTTTTCGAGTTACAGCAAAAATCTACTCATAGCCCTTTTTTCATAGAGTATCATAGAGTATTTTGCGGCCGAAAAGATTAAGAAGCTTTCAAAACGTCAAAACTTTCCAGCATTGTCACCTTCTGCGTGTCGATGCTGTTGGTAGTTACCTGGCGGATTGTGACCCATCTATTCTGCCAGCGAAGAGAAAGAGATGAAGTGGAACCAGTACAAGAAGCCGTCCCATTACAGGTATCACCAAACGAGGGTTAAGACGTATAAAAATACCTGCTCAGATGGGAGTATCCGGAGTAACTTAGTTAGTAGTTAGAAGTATCCGGTAAAACTAAAAACCCCGGGATCTAGCCCGTATATATCATAAGTACACTAACAGCTCCGTGCATTGATGAACCGTCAGCGGAATGTAAGCCACGAGCAGGAATTTGATTTTATTGCCATTGCATAATTTTGTCTTTATCGTATTATCGTGTTTTTTTTATAGATCAATGGGAAGCATGTACCAAAAGCCGATCCCGATGCGGTGAACATCAAACAGGAAGAGCGGAATTTGGGATGGATGACCGAGGCAAAGGTTGGTTTTTGGGCTCAACGTATAAAACCAAATTTAAATAATGGTCGGTTTAATACAATTAAAACATGATTTCCAGGACTGGGCCGGCGAGCTAATTTCTGGCCAATCCCTGACAGGCCGTTTCCTCGTCGTTCTGGTCTTCGTTTTATCACTTGGCTCCCTGGCCATCTACTTTTATGACGCCAGTTTGTAAGTGTTTACCTATTTTACGTAATAAAAATATCTTCCAGTCAAAACTTCCAAGTGGAGACATGCATCCCATGGCAAGACAGCCCATCCCAGCAGATCGATCTTGGCTTCAACATATTTTTCCTCGTTTATTTTTTTATACGGGTATGTTTTTGGGATGTTATTTTGGCTTATACTAAAATTACTTAGCTATTTAAGCTAAACAATTAAAGCACTATTTCCAGTTCATCGCGGCCTCCGACAAAGTCTGGTTCTTGCTCGAGCTGTACTCATTTATCGACTATTGCACGATTCCGCCAAGTTTTGTGGCCATCTATCTGCAGCGGAATTGGCTAGGTGAGACTTAGGTTGAGGCTTAGGCTTGGCTTGGGCTCAGGCTTGGCTTAGGCTTAGGCATAGGCAGGCTTAGCTTAGGCTTAGGCTTAAACTTCACCTACCTGCAATCATGAATTAATTCCCTTTCCAGGCTTCCGCTTCCTCCGTGCGTTGCGCCTGATGACGGTCCCAGACATTCTCCAATACTTGAATATATTAAAAACATCATCTTCGATCCGGTATCTCAATTGTCACGCTTATATATTTATACATCCCTATACCCAGGCTCACACAGCTCGTCACAATTTTCGTGTCTGTTTGTTTAACAGGGGCCGGAGGTGTACATCTGGTACGTTTTTTCAGAATCCGAAATATAACCGTAAAAAATTTTAGTTTGAAAACTCGGGTGACTTCTTCAAGGGCTTTGTCAACCCGCATCGGATTACATATGCTGATTGTGTATATTTTCTGCTTGTCACGATGAGTACTGTCGGTCAGTTTATCGAATATTCTGTAAAAAAAAATGGTTTCTCAGGTTACGGTGACATCTACTGTACGACGTTATGCGGTCGCATTTTCATGGTGTTCTTCATCCTAGGAGGCCTGGTATGTAAACTATTTTCTATGAGTTTGTCGAAATGGCATTTTTTTGCTAGCTTTCAACAAATTTATTTTCGACAAATTGAATGATATCAAATCCTATTCTTTCCAGGCCATGTTTGCCTCCTACGTACCGGAAATTGCTGATCTAATCGGGAATCGCCAAAAATACGGCGGCGAGTACAAAGGAGAGCACGGGAAGAAGCATATTGTCGTCTGTGGGCACATCACATACGATTCCGTGTCCCACTTTCTACAGGTAATTATAGAGAATTGGATTAGAGCAAGAGAAGAGAGAGAGAGAGAGAGAGAGAGAGAGATAGATAGAGAGAGAGAGAGAGAGACGATCCCCAAAAAATCCCGATCTCTTCAGGATTTCCTGCATGAAGATCGTGATGATGTGGACGTGGAAGTGGTTTTTTTGCATCGGTACGTCATTTTTCGGTTACTAGTTCTAATTCTAGAATAAAAATTTGCTCACTAAACCACATATCTGGGCTAAATATAATATTCTAGACGAATGTAGAACTGGCGATGAAGTACGGGGGGGGAGTAATCCGATACTATGCATAAGAGACTGCGCGATGCAAACAATGCGACAATCAATCCACGGGATTTATATAAATAGAAATTTCATGCCGCCTTTAAAAAAAAATTTGAAAAAAGCTAACGAAGAAAATGGAATTGGGCAAACGGGCAAATGGTAAAAACTCGTTTGACACTGTTCTTACTATAAAAACGTTTTCGAAATCGCGATTTTCGAACCCTTGATCGCCAACTTTAAATTGGCATGCCTATTTGACATCTAAAAACCGCTGTTATCAACTTAAAAATATGAATTCCTTTCCGTTTTTAGGGTAGTACCTGATCTGGAGCTCGAAGGTCTCTTTAAACGACATTTCACCAAAGTCGAGTTCTTCACCGGAACCGTCATGGATTCTTTGGATCTTTCCCGGGTTAAGGTTGGTAGTACCCTATTTACAAGTTAACATCCAAATTGACTGCAGGTAGGAGATGCGGATGCGTGTCTCGTTTTGGCAAATAAATACTCCACAAACCCCGATGCTGAGGATGCGGCGAATATCATGAGGGTGATCTCCATTAAAAATTACTCCTCCGACATTCGAGTGATCGTCCAATTGATGCAATACCATAATAAGGTTTGTTAAATCTTATAAAATAAGAGTTTAATTGCCGATTTAGGCGTACCTCTTGAACATTCCATCGTGGGATTGGAGACGGGGCGATGATGTCATTTGCTTGGCCGAGCTGAAACTCGGATTTATTGCACAATCATGCTTGGCGCCAGGGTTTTCAACGATGATGGCGAATTTATTTGCGATGAGAAGCTTCAAAACGGTTGGTTTTTTGCAAAAAAAAGTTTTAAATCTCGTTCTATTTGCAATGGAAGTGCTCACTATTTGTTGGCATTAAAATATTAAAACCTGAATGCCAAAATTTACTGTTTTCGGTACTAGGCTATTAGCGGGGGGGGGGCAGGGGTTTTTGTGGCCGTAGGCCGAATTTTCCCACGCAATTCCGTACGGCCATATAATTAAAATCAAATTTGCAAACAAATTTGCAATGAATTTTAAAGCTTTAGATAACTTTGCAATGATTTTCCACAGAATTCGTTAAAATCAGAGTTTACAAAATTAAAACCTGAATACGACAATCTTACTCGTTTCTACGTCTAACGATTTGACTGTCGAATCTCGCGTGTCCAACCTACTAATGAAAAAATTAACCTCTCTATTTGGCTGCAGTCTCCACACACTCCATCATGGTTGAATGACTATCTACGAGGGGCTGGTATGGAAATGTACACCGAGAGTCTATCCCCAGCATTCAACGGCATGTCCTTCCCTCAAGCCGCCGAGTGGGTTTCCATTCTTATTACTGCCTGATTTTCTCGCCGTGTCGTTGTTAGTGGCATGTTGTTTTGTCGTTGTCAAGTCATCGTCTATTTTTTTTTTGATTAAGCTTAAAATTCTACCATTTAAGCACTAAATACAGGGTCCCTCAGAAGAAGACGCATCCGGCATTTCGACGCCTTACATCCAATCGTTCCCAAAATAGGACCAGAGCTGTATCTTGAAATCGATCGGGTGTAAGGCGCCAAAACACCGGATGGTTCATTTTTTAAAGGGGCTCGGAAGTCAAAATTCGTGCGTCCGGGGATTGAGCCTACTGGTCAAAAAACGGAAGAGTCACTGCCGAGGAGTACAACAAAACTGTTTTCGTTGCGAAAAAACGTAAAATGTTTGAGAAAAAACGAATTCTTTTTGGGGCGAAAACGACATATTGAGTGCGCGGCGATTACATGTCGTAATGCCTTGTAAGGCACACAATCTCTCGATCTCGGTGATTCTCTAGTCAATTTTCATAATTTAAAAGTCTGGAACGATCAAAATTCGTTGAGGATTCCAAAAAAAGCATGAGAATTTTTCAATTCAAGCGTTTTTGCGTCGAAATAGAGGCAAAAGATGATGCGGCGCGGTCGCGTTGCGGTGGCATCTGGCTACTTGCCAGGAATCACAGCAGGGGGCCGTGGACCAGATTTCGGAGCCCCTTTAAGAACCCTTTACAAAATTTCTATTAAATTTTTATTTCCAACATAAGAAAACTTTCTCATACTCCCCAATAGATGTCGTATAGTGATTGGTCGGTTTAGTCACGCGAGACGCCCGACTGGCTGAACCTGTACCTCTGCGGAGCCGGTATGGAAATGTACACAGATACACTTTCCCACGGATTCGTCGGTATGACGTTCCCCGAAGCTGCTGAGTGGGTGTTGTAATGTGTCGTACAAGTCGTAAGGAGCCGTTTTTTTAGTCGGCAGTGCGTTAAGAAACGGGATCAAGCCTGGCTAGTACACAAATTCGCACAAAAAAAGGCTGATCCCGTTTCGAAACGTCATGCCCTCTAAAAATCACTCCTGTTTAGTACACTTTATCTATAATTCTGCAGCCTTTTTACCGGTCTTTTATAGCCTATTATTCACTCGACTTGGCCTACTCCTTTTGGCGATCGAGCTGAAAGATGAGGAAAATAAGGAATGCAATATTGCCATCAACCCAGGTATCCGAGTTAAGACAACCCGAATATACCCAATCCCCCAGGACCACACATCACCATTCAACCTCAAACTCAAGGCTTCTTTATCGCGCAAAGTGCTGATGAGGTCAAAAGGTAAGGTTGAAGTTATTTATTAATTATTATACGGGTTTCTTATCTATTTTCTCATTTTGTCGGAATTGGATGCGGAAATTGAACTGGCGAGACATTTCGATGAAAATACAAGGCGGAAAAAGCATTTAAATTCGAAACAATGATCCTGTTATAATCAATGAGTATTTCCAAAAACGTCCTGTTTTTTCAGAGCCTTCTTCTGGTGCAAACAATGCCACGAAGACATCCGTGACGTCACCCTCATCAAAAAATGCAAATGCAAGAACTGTAGGTTTTGGATTCATCAATTTTTTTTTATTCTCCGATGTTCCTAATTTATGCTATTATCTTTTTAAGTAAATATCGCAAAAATCAATAATTTCCAAAATTCCGTTTCTCACCTCTAGCCGTCCTTTAGTGAATTTGTTCCGACGATCGATGAAGGCGATCAACGTGAAAGCTGGTGGGTGGTATTTTCTTAATTTTCGTCACATTCCGATTTCTTAAAGGGCTAGGAAAACACGTTTTTATTTTCAATGCATGTCTGCAGCACAATATTAACAAAATATTCGCTCAAAATGACGAAATATGATTTGAGACTTTGGATACCAGATACGAATGTACTAAAAATCCGAAACGACGGTTTGAAGTTGACTGTTGTGCTAACCAATGTCTACTCAGGGGCTAACTAAGGCCCTAACCCGTTTTTCATTTGCAGACCACACGACCGAATTCGACCTCTTATTCGACAAGAGTCACGGTATGCCCAAAGGCACTGTCCCATCAATCCCCTCATTTCAACCCATTCGGTTACTTTTCTGAAAACATAACGGGGGTTTAGACGGTAGCCAATTAAGCATGATCTTTATTTCGTCGAAATTTCATTTTGTCGACATTCCATTTTGTCGAGATCTCATTTTGGCAAAATTTCGCTTTGTCGGAGATGAAACCCCATCAGCGAAAGGTATGAGATAAATAATCCAAGCCGGTTTTTACTTGGCTATCAAAGCGCGCATTAACAAAAACTACTTCCGGGATCGCGTTCTTCATTCAAATATCCCCATCCTTCTTCACAGGCTAAAATTTTCGCACTGTTGCTGCATGCCAATTCATCTCCTGTCCATTTAGCCCGGTGGTGGAAGGTTGCAAAAAAAGATTCATTACTACTACTTTTACTACTCTTCAACTTCCTACTAAAAGATTCATTACCATGGAAAGCTTTATATACAAGCCCACCACCGGTCCACTCTGAGTGCCAAATTCAGTTCCTTTGATATTCTGCCCATCCTTTGTGCTAGGCTACCCATTTCCTAAAACCAAAAAAATTGGAATATTTGCAGCCCGGCACAACATCGAACCAACGCAAGGGCCACCGTTTGGCGGCTCGCAGGTGCAGCTGCGAATGGTTACCGAAGCGAGGTAGGCGATCTTTTCGATTTTTTCCGGATTACTCCGGATCATTCGATTATTTTCCGGGTCCGTATCAGTAAGCGATAGGGCTATAGGGCCCAAAAAAAAGATGTATCCGGCATTTCGGCGCCTTACACCCGATTGGACCCAAAATTGAACGAGAGCTGTATCAAACCCTGAATAACAAAAATCAATACTTATAGGCCGATAAATACAGTAGCTTTTCAGTTACAGCAAAAATATACTTTGTTTTCCATTTTTTCGAGAGTTTCCGTGGGATACGAACGCCTAAAAATTAGGTTAAAAGATTCGGAAAACCTTCCTTACTTTAAGAAATTTTTTCGGATTAAAATTAATCAAATTAACGTCGCTTTAAACAGCATTTTTCAATTACCCACGATCTTAAGCGGAATTCGGGATGTATAGCCGGAAGTCGATGCAAATCGCTTCAGGGTGGGAAAAGACAGCCGAGAGGCTCTGTAAAAATGCGAAAAACTGTATTTTGGCCATATTTAGAGAATTACTGTAGCTCTAAGGCAATAAGTGAGGATTATTGTTATTTAGGGTTTGATACAGCTCTAGTCCCATTTTGGGACCGATTAGATGCAAGTCTTTTGGCTTTTCGATTTGATTGGACGCTTCAAAATACACCCGCGTTGTATCAAAACCCCCACCATGCAACAATAACTGAGCGCCATATGCGTTCCCTCGTTTCAGTTCCCAATCAGACAACCAGCTGAATGCGAAAACGATGAGGGTGGCGTATGAAATCAAGAAATTAATGTAAAGCACCAATCGCCCCTGCAAAACCCCTTCTGTCTCCCCCTAAAAGAACCCCCCTCCCAAAACCTGCGTCGAATTTCCTGCTCGCCAATCCCCCTCCACCAACCCGTCAAAGATTTTCCATTTTGTTTGATCTAAACGCCTTTAGAGCTTAGGCATTTTGAGCCAAGAATTTATCAAAAAAATGGCTATATTAAAACAAATAGTCCCTAATTTCCCCTCCCGAGGATCCTTTAGACGGCACTGACTGTCCACTCTATTTCTAGTTCCTAACCCCTCACAATCCCCCTCCTATTTACCACCCGCAACAGGATACAACTAACACGGTGCTAGACGTTGGGCAACACTTTTATTATGGCTAACTGTAACCATTTCTTGGTCAGCGTGCTATTTTGATGCGCGAGATCCCACATCTTGTGCAGGATTATTCCCCTGATGCCTTATCGGCTTCCAAAAGTTGTGGTACTTTCTGGCTAAAAAATGACAGCCAATTTCGACGATCAAATGGCCGAGATTTCAAATTTTAATTTCTTTTGAAAATCACCTAAAATATTTTGAGAGACAGATTACACCTTCGCTAGGTGTAAAAAACGGGCTCGTTCGAATGGGCTAGATCACAAACCCGTGGCTCGAAGTGCATGATAGAGGTTTTTTGGTTTATTGGTTAAAGGTTTTTTAAATGTGAGAATTTGGTTCTACGGGTTCGTGACATAGCCGATTCGTAAGAGCACGTTTTTCTACCCCTAATCAAGTTGTAATCTATCCCTAAAAGTATTTTACGTGAGGGTTAGGAGGCATTCAGTTTGGAATTTTCGGAAGAGCGTCAAAATCTGCTTTAATTTTTTAACCAGAGGGGTTCCGCAACTTAAGACGGATTCGGAATCCGCAGAAAAATCTGCATAAGATGTGACATCTCGCCTTCGAACTTTCCCGGTCATCAAAAAACGGAAGATCAACACCAAAAATCTGCCCGGCTAGTACCGTGTTGCCCCTGGGGCGTCTTGTCGCCTGTAACACTATCAACAAACCGCACTCCCACCATAAAAAGTAAGCGATTATAGGCCATCAACCGGCCGACGAAATTCACTATCGATTCCACCGGATGGTCGGGGTGTCGATTTATGCAAAGAATTCGAGCAGCAAGATATGAAATACGATAGTACCGGAATGTTCCATTGGTGTCCGGCTCGGAATCTGGATGAGTGTGTACTGGTGCGTTTATTTTTGCAAATTTTTGGTAAAGGTTGCTTAACGGGGGGGTAATGGGGTGGAAACAATTTTGTATTTCTAAACACGCAGGATCCGTTTTTCATTATACATAATGGGGTTTAGGAAAGACATCAAGCCGCCATGACAGTACTCAACGGGCATGTCGTCGTCTGTTTGTTCGCCGATCGGGATTCCCCGCTAATAGGTATGCTATACCGTTGTGCAATCCCTTACTTATACCAATACAGGCCTTCGTAATTTCATCATGCCACTCCGTGCCTCGAACTTCCACTACCACGAGCTGAAGCATGTGGTCATCGTCGGCGACTTGGAATATTTACGGAAAGAATGGAAAACGCTCTACAATTTGCCAAAAATTTCCATATTAAACGTAGAAGCTTGTTTAAATTTTGCAAGAAAAGCTGAATCTAGGGTTCGCCGTTGTCAAGGGCTGATCTGCGAGCAGTGAATATCAACCTGTGTGATATGTGCGTCATCATCTCGGCTCGTGTTCCGAATACTGAAGATACGACTTTGGCTGATAAGGAAGCAATTCTTGCCTCACTAAACATCAAAGGTATAGATCTAATATTGAATTTTCCTATGCAATTTGGCGCATTGGATTTTCTGTGCCTGTTCTGATCAAAAAGCGGCACTGGACTGTTAGCGGGGGGGGGGATGATTTTTGTTGTTTTGCTTATCTTACCTGTTAATAAAGAAGAGGGTATTTTGATACTGTTTTTCGTAGTTTTTATGCAAGTAAGCTAGAAAAAATATCCCCCCCCCCCGTTAACAGTCCAGTACCCCAAAACCTTTCAGCCATGCAATTCGATGACACGCTGGGCTTTTTCCCCGTCCGCGGAGGTGATCGTTCTCCACTCGGTTCCCCGCTATCTATGCATAAGAAAGGGGCCCGTTTTGGGACGAATGTGCCGATGATCACTGAACTTGGTTTGCCCCCCCACATTTAACCATTTAAGCGGATTTTAGTGAACGACAGCAATGTGCAATTCCTTGATCAAGATGACGACGATGACCCTGACACTGAACTATATCTGACACAACCATTTGCATGTGGAACGGCGTTTGCTATTTCGGTTTTGGATTCTCTGATGAGCACGGTTGGTTAAAATTGAGTTTAATTGGTATTTATTATATTTGTAGACATATTTCAATGACTCCGCGTTGACGCTAATTCGAACATTGGTCACTGGAGGTGCAACACCGGAATTGGAACTGATTTTGGCTGAAGGTGCCGGGTTGAGGGGAGGTTATAGGTAGATACTCCTGCTAACGTTGTAAAAGTTGTCGTGATTACAGTACCCCAGAGACACTGGCGAATCGGGACAGATGTCGGATAGCTCAAGTGTCCTTATCTGATCAACCTTATGAGGGTATTGGGGTAAGTCGAGAAAATTAAGAGATTACAGAGTGTCCAAAAATAAGCAATCCGCCGGCTTTTTGCGGAATTACAACCAATCGGCCCGAAAATTGGACTCTAAATAACAACGATCCTCACTTACAGCCACAGAGTTACCGTAGTTTTTGAGATACCACAAAAAATTAAATTTATTGTCGCTTTTTCATATGTTTTACGTGGAAATCGGACTTTAAACCCGCCTTGAGTCTTTACTTCTTTACCCTAAAAAACTTTGTCTGATATAGTAGGCAAAGAATAGGCCAATTTAAACAATTTTTACAACTCAAAATCACCCAAGATTTTAAGCGAAGCTAAAGCTTCCCGGCCGGAAATCGATGCAAATCGAGGCAAAGTTTATAAAAGAGCCGAAAAACTGTTTAAAATTGCGCAAAAGAACAGTATTTTTGTTATAAACCAATCATTTCCAGCATAATTCTACCTATGGCCAAATGTTTTCGACAGCGCTGAAACGCTACGGCCAACTGTGCATTGGTCTATATCGATTGCACGATCAAGACAACCCGGATTCTGTCAAACGATATGTCATCACCAATCCGCCGGCTGAACTTAGGATCCGCCAGACCGATATGGTGGGTTCATTCTCAAAAAAATATCGAAGGCTTTCGAAAACAGCGAATCCAACAAAAATAATATTTATTTCAGGTATATGTGCTCGAACAATTCGACCCGGGTCTGGAATATGAGCCTGGAAAGCGGATGCTTTGAGCCCGTTCGTTTTGAAACCAAAAATATCAATGCCCTCTTCTTTCTTTATCTCGTTTACCGTTTTTACAGAGTATGTGCTGATGCTTCTGCGAGGGAATTCGTTACAATATCACTGTAAGATCATAGCTCAATTAAAATGCATTGGCAGAAGTTGGCGAAACTGGCACTGGACTGTTAGCGTGGGAAGGACTGTTAGCGTATATTTTTTCCGTCTATACATGCCTCTTAATATGTATTTTGGCTGCATTTTTATAGCATTTTTCATAGGATTCGATTGCTAAACAGTTACAAAAGGCCTCGTAAAAACATTTTACCTTTTTGCGTCACTTTTCCACATTTTTGAACAAAAGACAAAAACTAAATTTTATGAGTTTTTTATATCTAAAAACTGTGTAAAATTCTATCAAAATAGGCTAGATTTGGTTACTGGACACAGGATTACTGCGAAAAAGTTCTCCCCCGCTAACAGTGAAGTACCGTCGGAACTCGAGTTCCCTGGATTCAGCGCACCAAGATCGGAAAACTATTTTCCTCCAAATTTTAAAATCCAAACCCTGCCTCATTGGTTGTTAGTTCATCCTGGCTATCCCAATCCTACCCTTTCTTTTAATTCATGATTTTAAACATTAAATCGACCAAACAATCGTTTTTATCCAACCATGACGCGACCATTTCCATTTATCCCCTTGCTCAGATGCTTTACCGTATTTATTACCACCCGATTTTCAAACGTTCCGCTTAATCATTAACAATTCAAATATAATTGTTAATTTTGTAATAACGGTTCAGATGTTATCGTCTTATTCTGTTGGTACACCTAATCTCAAATTGCTATAATGTATACTCGGATGGGTCAATTTGCAGCCGCTTCGATGGCGCGAATAAAAAATACGATTTATTTCTACGCAAGACATTCACATTTAAATTTAGAAAATCGAACAAAAACCAGTAATTTTATTTGATTGTGCTCGGCTCTGGTGATGATGGGAATTATGGGTTACATTGAGGAGATGATCAGACACTGCCGAACGGCTCGAAGCGCCATAGACGCGCGTCATCCGCCGATGACCAACTTTTGGAGCTGCTCAGGGAGCGGAACATCAAAACAATCGAGCACAAGCTCCCGCGAATCGGCCGCGCGACCTAACTTGCTGACCCTGTTGCTGACTGGCGGCCGAATTTATTGACTCTGTACTGCTCCCAAACTACAGAATGCGGAGTCGCGCCTGGGAGGGAGAATCAACTGCCCCTAGCCTAACCGGCCCGACAAGGTTTCCGGAAGCGGTAGCCTGAACGGCTTGAAGATATCGATGGAAACAAAGAGCAGGGAAAGTTTAACGGAGAAAACGAAGCTGGTCACCGTCGTCGATGGCGGCCGAATAGAAAACTCAGGAAAAACTGGGCTTCACCAAACCGCACTAAGGATGAGGGACCCGACATCGGCACGGACAGAGCAGCTCCTGAAGACAAGGGGGGATATGCTACAACCAGCCCTGATGAAGCCAGCGAAAAAAGGAACACTAGACAGCAGATGTTATAACGCTTCTAAGTTTTCGCCCCCCATACAGTTTTGAGTCGATAGGAGTGCTACGTTGCTTATTGGTTTTGGCCGTTGCCGTTGATTTTGGGAGTGGAGAACGCATCCACGTGGAATACTTATTCTCAAATTGCTATAATGTATACTCGGATTGGTCAATTTGCAGCCGCTTCGATGGTGCGAACAAAAAAAAACGATTTATTTGAATGATACAGAACATCCACATTTAAAATTAAATATTCTCTAAATTGAATTAAAATTGAAATAAATTTTTAATTTAGAGAATAGAGCAAACACTAGTCTTTTTATTATTTGATTGTTGTCGGCTTTCGATGCACGATGGTCGATGTAATAGGTGCTGAAATAAATGTTCGCAAACTCGCATGAAATCAACCTCAGAATGGAGCGTGCTGCCCTTCCGGTCGTTTATTTTTGCCTGAAAAACCGGAAATTGGTTACCGGAACTGTGCTAACCGTCGACATTTTCAGCCCGAGGTTGGTCTGATTTTTCACGAAATTCTTTTCGGCGTTATGCTCGTCGATGCCTCGCTGGAAGTTCTTCTTTGTGGCCGCCGAAAAAGTTCATATTAAATTGATTTGTCCAAATTTCAATTTGTCCAAACTTATTTTGTCGAAATATCATTTTGTTGACATCTCGTTTCGGCAAAATTTCCGTTTTCACAATTACAGTACACATAAACTTCGCTTTTTGCGACAAAATAAAATCCCGACAGAACGCGATGTCGACAAAACGATTTTTGACGAAATGAAAATCACCCGAGCAAATTATTCTCAAAATCGAAAAATACCCTGCGTATATTTCTATCGCGTGTTGCTTTCTCCAATTCGTCTATCAATTCGTCATCAGTGTTATCGGAATGATGCTGCGGCTGTGGCTCATAACTAAGGTGGTTCTCGGGTGCCTAAGCAGAAAAAGCTCTCGATTAACTACATCGGTACCCTGTCGATAGGTTCATGTTGAAACGAGTATGCAGTAGTGTGCTCATGGTGGTCGGTCTAAGGATCAAAACGTTTGGTACTGGACTGTTAGCGCGGGGGGGTGTTTTTGCGCTTTTACCTATTTGTTAATAATAAATATTGTATTTGTATAAATTTTTTGTAGTTTTTGATTGCTAGAAAACCAAAAAAAAAATATCTTAATTCGGGAAATTCGGGAAACGCAACGACAAAGGGTAAGATTAGTTTTCCCTATTGCTAACCTCTCCCCCCCTGCTAACAGACCAGTACCAGACGTTTAATTAGCAATTTAATATTCCCATCCTGTATGTATACCTCTAAAACTCACATCGAATTCATCGCTCAGAGCCCCTGAACGATCCGTTTCTTCTCCATTCGAATAGCCTTAATTTGTTAACCCACTTTTTATAATAACCTACTTGCGCGCCTGCTGTCATTATTCTTCACTCGACGCTTTTTGTCTGGCAATTGATTTTCGGCCAATGGCTAAATTTTAGTATAGTTGAGGTTTTAGCATAGCATAGTTGAAGGTGTAAAAACACCCCATAAAGTAAAAATTGGCCTACCGGATAAGCGATCTCTTTGAAACTTGTTGCCGAAATGGATCGGATCAGCGAGGCTCTATATTTTATTTTAATTCTATTTGGAAAATGCTTCAAAAACTACCTTTCGTTATTTTTCTCACCCTCGTCTTTTGCAGGTTGTTCTGCAGTTTCTAACACAGTATTGGTTGAAGAGCTAAAAACCAAGATTTTTCGGTAGTAAAAGTATTTAGTAAGTACAATTCTGATTTCTGCCAATCGCTGGCCGCTTCAAATCAGATACTTTAATGAATACCCGGTGCTATCTTCAGTTTCCTGTCGTAGTGTTGGCGCTGGTTGAGAAATTGCAACGTCTGCCGCTTCAACGGCTTCGCCAGGGCCCATAATATTCAGAAACGGGGTTTCAATTGGCAAAAATGGGGGGCTGGGATAACGCGACGAAATCGACCCCCAAAATCTCTTGCCTGTCCACCGGAAGGATTATTGCACGACTTAATCCTCTGCTGATACTGCATCACCGTCCGTTTTAGGGCGGCTCGCAATCAATTCCCGAAAAAAGGTGTAAGCCGTATTTGCTTGAGATAAGTTTTGCTTTTAAGCCGAATCCTAAGCCTAGGTTCAAGCCTTAACCTAAGCCTAAGTCGAAGTCTCCTCCTAAGCCTAAGCTTAGACCTAAACCGAAGTCCGAGTCTAAACCTATGCTTAGGTTTAAGCCAAAGCATACGCATAAGCCAAACCCAGTCCCAAGCTTAAGCTTAAGGCTATGACTAAGCTCAACTTGCAGTCTAAGCCAAAGCCTAAGCTTAAACCTAAGTTTAACTAGAAACCTAAGTTTAAGCCTAAGCCCAAGCCTCGGCCTAACCTAAGCCTAAACCTAAGCCTATGCCTATGCCTCGATCTGAACCTACCAAAACCTAAGCCTCAGCCCAAGCCTCCGTCTAACCTAAGCCTAAGCCGAAGCCTAAGCTTACATAATCCTAGGCCTAAGCGTAAAGTAAGCCTATTTAATCTAAACTTAAGCCAAGCGAAAGCCCAAGCCTTAGCTTAACCTATGCCTAAAGCAAAGCCTAGTCCGAAGCCTAAACGTCTCCCTGTGCTACGGCCCCCACGGGCGGTATGTGAAGTGTAGGTGGGGGGTCTTGATGAACCGCGGAGAGACCACGTGTTTGGTTTCGCATGCAAGGTGCGATTCTCAAAAGCGGGACGTTTTGCATACGACCCGTGTGTGGGTAGGGGTGGTGGCTGATGGTTGAAGAGTCCACCCTGCCCCTCCATTCCCCAAACGGTACACACAACCCCTTGCTGACGTCAGCAGATTGGTAAATATGCCCGGAGGGAACCAGTACTTTCCCAAGGAATGGTGCGTCTCCCATACCTTTAGTTCGGGTGTCGAGCTGAAAAATCTGAAAAAATTAGATTTGGTATCTATCGCGTATGCATATGTGATTTTCAGGCAGTATATGAAGACTAGGTAAGTACTGAAATCTAAACTAAATCTATAAAACTATTAAAAAATCGGTAAGCAAACATTCGAAAAATTACCCCTAGCCCTTCTGTTTGGGGAAAGCTCGCCTTAATTCAATTCAAATCAAATTTACCCTTAGAACCTAAAATTTTCGAAGTTCCAGTTCTTATTCGAATCTCAAAATTTCAAGAAATGTTCAAAATATGATTTTTTAGTGTTTGCGCTGGTTGATTTGCATGCAAAAATTCAGACATTTTAATAAAAACCGTAAGCTCAATCAAACCCTCCAATTTTACGGTGGGTTTCATTTGAATGAACCTGAATTTTTCAGCTATTTGAGCGATGCACAAATTTTGTAATCTACGAAATTTGAGTTCTATTATGCGCTGCGCAAATCAGACTTGTTTGCATGCCAAAATTTGGGGCTGATTAAGAATCGAAAGCTGAAGACAACCTTCAAATTTGAGGTTGATTTATTCCAATAAAATGTTAATTTCTCAGCTACTTGAACAATGCACAAGTTCTGTATAATTAAATTTCCGGCGCTAAAAGATGGACGTGTTTGGCACACAAACATTTAGAGATTTCGATAAGAACTGGAAGATTAATCAAATCCCTAAATTTTATGGTGAGTGTATTTGAATAAATGTGAATTGTGCACCATTTGAGTGTTGCACGTTTTCCAGGTTTTGCAACTCCTGATTACCCAAAAGTTCCAAAAATCACAGTCCTTTCCTTACCTTCCCTTCAAAAAGGGTCTCAGTTCTCGTGCCCAGTGCTGTGCTTGGTACGGGGTGGGTGGTCCGTACAGTGGGCTTCCATGGCCCCAGGCACCGCCCTACAGTACCCACAAGTCTCGTCTCGTCTCCCCCCACTCGGCTCCACCGTCTATTTGCGTTCCTCCTCGAACCGCGCGATTCAGTCGGAATTGACTGCGCGTGGTCGGGGCGGGGAAAGGCGCCTGAGGCGAGACACCCCCCCACCAAGTACCTATACCCATCTTCAATTATTGTCAAAATGAGCCCATCATCTGCTGGTTCGCTTAGGGCTGAGGAATCAGCATCGCCGTCTGCAAATTCAAACGCTCCGCATAGGTCAGTGATTTTTGACCATTTTCTAAACATTTTACAATGTTCGTTTTCCGGTTGTTTAGTTTTTAGTTAGGGATATTTTGCTATTTTAGATAGATAGCTATATTCCTGAAAAATCAGTACCATCACTTATTCCAAGTTTAGCCCGTTAAGGTTTAGTGTAGGTATGTACGAATTGAATTTGCATATTCCGGTCATAGCTCACTTGACAACGAATTTAATGGTGCGTTTATACCTGATTGGATACGTCCCAAGCGCCCTGCCAAACAAGACATTTTTAGATCGACTGTTTTGGAAACTAAATTTAATTTTTTTTTGTCAACATTTCGATTGGCCACCTTCCTTCGATCGCCCTATCTTTTGCGAGCCGGGTGGTAGGCCGTAATAAATAATATTTTTGGACCAATATTACCTTTAATTGCTAAAAAACGCATAAAAACGTAGCAACCATTTTCAAAATTTGGCGGCGATTACAAAAATGGAAGGTTTTCCTTGAACATTTTTGAAATCGGGTGTTTTACCATTTGACGATTATCGCAATTTTGAAATTTGATATATAGTGAATGACCACGAAAGCTGTATTTAAACTATGTTAACTACCCACAAGGAGACGTTTTTGAGTGTCCACGCGGTTTCGAAATGTGAGGAAGCCTAGTTTGTGCCGAATTTTTCGCTGTTGAAAACCTAGTTTTCTGAATCTGTAAGCGACGACAAAAATACAGTTAGGAAGGCTTTAAATGATTTTGCCAATTTTTCACAATTTAGAGCTTTGTAACTTTACAAATTTTGACCCCCAGGTGAATCTGCACAAGATATGCTGGGTCCTATATCGAAAAACCCCGCGGTCAGCTATCTTAATCCCGGCTATGCAAATTTCTTTCCTCAAAATGGATGTGGCTGGTGCTGCTGGTATTTACGGAACATCCAGACCAGTTTTCGTCCAAATACCGTTCCCGGATTCCACGGACGGGTCACATCCACGGACACGGCTGATATTTGTGGAAGGAGCGACTCACTTTCTCTCGAGGTCCATACTGGTCAAAAGGGTTGTCTCGTAGTCCCAGTGTGGAGTGTCTGTCTGTCTGTCTGTCCATCTACCTGTCTCTTCTCCTCTTCTACCCTGTCTGTTTGTAGTATTGGAAAGGGGCTTCTCAAATAAGGCTGTCCCTACCGGTACCGCCCTATGACCAGCCGGACGATCTCATTTCCATGCATTGCGCAACTGCATCCATGCATATTGTGGAATAAGGAATATGCAGAAATATCGGTACTGGACTGTTAATGGGGGGGTCTAGCACAGGAGTTACTTTAACAAAATATTGACGATTTTTACCACATTTTACATAGTTTTATAAAAACAAAAATTGATTTCGACCATTCTAAAAATACCCCCCCCCCCCGCTAACAGTCCAGTACACCGTTAGGTGCAAAAAAGTGACGAGATAATTGCAAACCTTACAGCTTTATCGAAGTACAGATCTTCGGCATTAAATTTATGCAAATTTGTAACTCAGGTCCTGAGGGATCAGAGTTTAAAAACCGCGAAGCGGCTTTAAATGATTTTTTTCGGCCTTGGCATCGTACTAATCTTGGTTGCGAAAAAGTTGTCACTTGTTGAAAAAGTGGGAGGCTTGATAAGTGGTGCTTACCGTATCCGAAAAATCCAGCTAAATTTACGCAAGGAAGCTTGGCTCTCAGCTTCAGATAAAAAAAGTAAAATCCAACTTGCAGGTCAACACGTGGCGCCTCAAAGCAGCGACGCGATCAGATCAATGTGGAAATCGGCCGGATGCGTGATCTGCTACCACTCTCCGAATCGATCAAAGATCGGCTTTTCCAGTTACAAGTCATGAGCCTGGCGTGTATCTTTATTCGAAAACATCGCTATCGTCCGAATGGTAGGGACATTTTTCGATTTTTATAGGCTTAGTTTAGCTTAGGCTTATGCTTAGGCTTGGCTTAGGCTTGGTTTTAAATCCCATTAGTTGGCGTAATTAATTCGAAAAGTGCACAAATAAAGAATTTTAAATTGAATATTTTCTAGTGATGCCGAGCATATCGATAAATCCGTCGGATCCATCAACTTCTGGATGTAATGTACCTCCCCGATCGTTGGATGCCGGAAAGGCCCTACGTGGCTTCCTCTTTATGACGACCAAATCCGCCAAAATACTCTACATCTCGGAGAATGCTAGTGATTACCTTGGACACTCAGTGGTAGGTTTTTACGAAATTTGCAGGTTACTGGTAACCCTGAAAATTCCATAGTATCCTGATGAACAATCTTTCTTATAGGAAGAAATCATGTGCCAAGGCGATTCCCTCTATGATATGGTTGACTGTCGCGACCATATTGCTTTGCAAAATCTGCTTGGTGAAGGACCACCGGCAGAAGAGGATTTCCCAAAAGATCGTGTTTTCTTATGCCGAATCAATCTCTCGCGCACAGCCAAGCGACAACTACAATTCCATAAGGTATTCCTTAACTTCATATCTCTCTTTCAATAAGGTATCCATTTTAGTTTGTACTCTTTCATGGTCGCTACGTCCATCCATCCGAATATTACTCAGCAAACCAGGAGCGCAGCACCAACATTCAGGTACGCAAGATCACGCTCAACCAAATCTCCTTCAGCCGATCTTTGCTGCATTTTGCCAGCCCTTATTAAATCCGGAGAACGCTGAGCTACTATCGACGGGCAACACAGACGCCTTTTCCAGCCAGCATTTCCTTGATATGCGATTTCGGGATATGGATAATATGTAGGTTTTTGGGGAATGGTAAAACCTCACCAGTGAGCATGAATCGTGGACAAAATTGAGCATGAATTTTAGGTTCATCGAACGGTCGGGATACAGCCGAAGTGAACTTCTCGATATGTCATGGTACGCTCTCTTGCATCCGGAGAATCTCGCTGATCTGGCTTATAAACACCGATTGCGTAAGGCCGAAAACGTTAAAAAATCTAACTCATATCTACAGTAGCTGACGAAAAGGAGGGCTCCGTATTAGCGTTGATGCGTATGCAAACTAAAGCCGGGCAATGGTTGTGGCTTCATTGCGTCATGTCAGTGCGGTAAGTATTTAGATAGAAGTAATTTAGAAGCCGCTTGTAGCTGCTAAAAGTTATACAGAGCTAAGAGCCCGATTTTTTAGGTCTTTGAATGTAAATGACGGAGACAATCGTCGGCAGCGTCACGTTATCCATATGGCATATCAAATTGTCGGGTAAGCGGAAGCCCGTGTCATTAGTCCATTTTTGTAGCGAAAACGAGGCCCGGGCTCTGCAAGCGAATGGATGGATCTACAGTATGCGGCACAACTATCCAACGTCATTTACGGCTCAAGTAAGTCAACTTTAGCTCAGGCTTGGCCTCGGGCTTAGGTTTAGGCTTAGGCTTGGGCTTGGCTTAGGCTTTGCTTAGGCTTAGCTAAAGCTTTGCTTAGGTTTTGCTTAGGCTTAGCTGAAGCATTGCTTAGGCTTTGCTTAGGCTTTGCTTAGGCTTGGCTTAGGCTTTGCTTAGGCTTGGCTTAGGCTTAGTTTAGGCTTTGCTTAGGCTTAGCTTAGGCTTTGCTTAGACTTTGCTTAGGCTTTGCTTAGGCTTTGCTTAGGCTTAGCTTAGGCTTTGCTTAGACTTGGGCTTAGCTTAAGCATGGACTTAGGATTAGGCTTAGGTAATAAATATTTTGTTATTAGGACTCACCGGATTCCCTACCAAATGAAACCCCGCTCAGCCCGGCATCTCCATTTGTCCTGGATCTACATAACAATATTCAGGTCCGTAATTTTGAGTTATAAATCTCAAATCATGCTTTCAGCCCGGTATACCGCTTTGTGGAGCACAGCTTGGTGGCCCGTTCCAGTTCGGACTTCATATCAACCGAACAATGCCGATGTTCTGCCCACAACAGGTAAATTATTATTTTACACTCAAAACTCTCACGCTTTTACAGATCAAAGTGGAGGTGGGACTCAAGGGGATGCATCCTCCGCTATGCCTAATTACACCTGAGCATTCGAGTCCTGAATCATCTGCTCCATCATTCCCATCACATTTCCCGTCTGAACATGTGAAACGGGAGAACAATCTTGATGACAAGTCAGTTGATTTATTGGAAAGCGGAGTGAAAAGCCCCGAAAGAGTGGTACTGTACTGTTAGCAGGGGAGGGTTTCGCTGGGGGAATATAATTTTGCTCAGTAAGCTTGTACGGTCCTATGACAAATGTGCTACTTTAGTCGAAACATTCTGGATGGCGTCGCGCACTTGATTCAAGCGGTCGATAACCATCAGCTCCCAGAACTTCGCGATCTCGATCAGTTTTTCCAACAGGTGTGGTTTTTCGTGAGTTCATCAGAATTTTGTCTATTTTAGGAAGAATTTGCGACGGGCGATCCTCATCGTCCACATGTGTTATCCGCTTCTTTAAATTCAGGACCGTTACCCAGTGCTTCACATCTAATTGGGCCTACGACTCAACTGAGGGTAAGTCGCTGTCGTCGAATTTAAAGGGGCTAGGACGCCAAAAAAATTGGGGATCAAATTTATAACTGAAAAAACTAAAGTTGTTTCAAGGGTTTTTTCTGGTTTTCGGATCATTGTGATAATTAAAAGCACTAAAACTATCAAAACTCCTACGCATACCCGAAACGACAGCATAATTTGAAAGTTCAAGCGTTTTCACCTCCGAAATTGTCTGTCTGTCGAGTTGTGCTGTCGCGTTAAGCGGGAGCTGGCAGCCTGCCAGAAATCTATGGAGCCGACTTCTTAGTCCCTTTAAAATCGTCTCAAATTACAGGACGTACTACCTACGATGCCCTCAATACCATCAATGGATGCTGCCTGTTTATCGTTCGAATACAGTTGTGCTACAAATGGCACCAGCCCAACCGCCCCTTGTCCTGATTTTTTCTCGACAACTCACTCATCTCAATTTCCCCATCATCATCTACCCAATCCCCTCGATCATCGTTTTTACTCTCGTAAACGCATCGGTTCATGGACAGGTGGCTAGCTAACACCGTTGTACACATATTGTTCTCTCTGCTAATGATATCCCGAAAACCCAGGTTCATTAAAGCTTTTAATCATCATAATTTTTAATTTTCCACGGATATTTGCAGAATTTTGTAACCTTTGTAACCTTTGTAATTTTTTATGACCTCAAGACACCGGCACTGGACTCTTAGCGGAGGTGCCCTAATTTTTATTTTTCTGCCTAGACCTGTCTATTAAGAATTTTTATATTGTTTTAGTTGTTTTTGATTGCTAAAAAGTTACAAAAATGTCTTAAAAATGTTAGAAAATTCGATAATTTTGGCTTCTTGGTCATTTTTCATCCATTTTGGCCAAAAAGTCAAAAACTTCTGGAAATTTCTATGTTTTATGAGCTTTTTATATGTGAGGACTGTGTTGAATGCTACAAAACTAGTTTATATTTCTCTATAGGACAGTAGAGATTACTGAGAAAAAGGTTAAAATCCCCCCCCCCCCCCCCGCTAACAGTCTAGTACCAAAAACCTACAATTTGTTCCTGCTTAAAAATGTTGTCCAAAATATCGCCCTTCTTTCATGTTACCCGTCTTTCAACACCCTCCGTTTTTCCTTCCATCCAAAACTGTGATATATGCAAAAGTGACCGATTTGCCTTCCTTGGTCCTCCTCCCCTCACACCGAAGTATTATATTTTACAAACTACCATCGTACCACACACAAGTTAACTTGATAAACACCTTGAGTTATTCCTTGTTTTGAAAAGATGCTTTTAATGGTAAATCATTGGATCGAATTCGGCATTTTAATTTATTTACTAACACAAATGACACAATAATCTACGTCACGGCAAAGCTGTATTCATTCCTAGGACCAAAATATGCGTACACGGACTATATTGGAAATTCAAGTTCAGGGTTTCAAAGAATGTGGGATACATTTGGTTCTAGCAGAAACTACCGGGTGTCCCAAAAAAGACTCATCCATCCGGCCCTTGGCCGACCAAACAGTCCCAAAATAGGAGCAGAGGTGTATTAGACCCGAAATAACAACAATCCGGAGTTCCAGCCCCCATGGCTACAGTAGTTCTCGAGCCACAATGAAAATACTGTGTCGCGCAATTATAAACATTTATCGGCTATATTTTGAACTTTGTCCCGATTTGTATAGATTTTCGGCTATGAATGGCTATTCCGCTTCAGATTTGGGGTAATTTTGCGTTGTAAAAATCGCTTGAATTGAAATTTATTTGATTATTTTTTGTCCGGAAAAATTTAAGACAAAGACAGCTTGCCGAACAACATTTTCACTAATTATTTCATGGATCACGGGGACCCAATCAAAAACTAAAAATAACGTTTCTTTTTGCCGTAACTTAAATTCTATTTAGGCTATGGGACTCTAAGTGAGGAGGATTGTTGTTATTTAGGACCTGATACACATTTTGACGAATTTTGAGACCGATCGGATGTAAGGCGGCACAATGCCGGATCGCTATGTTTCTGGTACATCCTGTATCTACGGTTTTTTACTTGGAATCAGCACAGTCCATTCGGCTTCCAAGGGCAATCTCAAGGCTTTCAGCAAAAATTTCTTGAAAAGCAGTTGTCATCACCTTGGAGATGTTCGATTTGGAGGTCGGGGCAACCATCTGGACTGGTGGGTTAAAAAATATATTCTAAATCCACGATACCCTGGCCAGCGACGTGGAAAAGCGGGGGCCGGTCGAGAGAAGGAGGCAGACTTTGTTAGCATCGACTGTCACGAATTTCGGGCTATCAGGGTCGCATCCGAACTAAAGTTAATCTATTTTCAGCGGCTTTAGTTTGATTTTTGTATGAAAATCAAATAATTACCATTTCATGGAGGTCTCCCACCCGGGTCCGCGACTTTTCTAGCATCATGCTGGACAGTAAACGACACAGAACTTGATTGTCCGCGCAATCAGCCGGGCCCACACTCTTTGCGATCGTTGGCTGTAAATACGTGATTGGGAGGATATCAAAGGTAAGTATTTTAATAAAAATGACTTACAAGTGCGTCGTAGAGGGTGAATAAGTCCCGGCAGATCGACTCTCGATGTTGGTGACCCGATGCTACGGTAAGGCAGACCAAGACCAACGCCATTTTGATCCACATTTTCCCGTTATTTTGCTTAAAGTTTAAAGTAATTGCTTTATTATGGGAGGGATGTATTAAAGGTGATTGTCATAATTTCTTGCATCCAAATCGAGCCAAAAAAAAAAGTTTTGAACCCATTCTAAATATACAAAAACCGTCTGAATTCCGCATCGCTACGTCAGATACTATCTCGTGGAGATGTCCCAAAAACGACCCCTGCGGCTTTTGTTCGCCTTACGTCTAATCGGTCCCAAAATGAGGTGTATCGGGTCCCGAATAGCAACAATCTTGATCTATCTCGGCAAGTCTGTTAGGATGCAAACTACACAAACTTGAAGAAAAACAAGTCTCTCTTTGTATTGAACGCTTGCACCTGAACTAATCTTACGCTAATCCTAAGCTGAGCCTAAGATATGCCTAAGCCTAAGCCTAAGCATACTAACTACCCGGTTGATGCTATGATGATAAATAAGAAGACATCTATGAAATAATGCCCCAAACGCATCTTCTCTAGGAGCGAATGGCAACATTTCAGCGGTTTTTCCTCGCGAGTGGGCAGCGTCCTTTAGTAATGTATGCAAACCGGCGCAGAGGATAGGGAAGAAGAGCCCCCTTTTTTCTGTGGGAACACACTCCCCCTCCTCCTCCCCTTCAAGCGCATCCATCCATCGTAGTGAGGCATAATTCAGTTAACCCCGAGAACGGAGGACAAAGGCCACATCCCTTTCACAGCCTCCGATGACCTTCACTTGGACAACTGTTTCCAAATTCAGCTAATACCGAGGAAATGTCCCTTAAAAAAACGGCCAGCGATCTCATACGTGTTGCATATAGAGCTAAATTTCAAAATAGGTGCGACATACGCTATACCGGAAATAGGGCCAGAAAGCGTTTGAAATAAAATTGGCACGATCAGGCAAAAGCACCGCCTAAAAATTTGGTATTGGGCTGTTAGCGGGGGGCGGGGGAAGCGATAGCAGCGGTATACGGACCTGTAAATAATAAACACTGTATTTTTATAATCTCTTTGATAGAGTTTGATCGCTAAAAATTTACAAAAATTAGACATTTGGGCAATTTCGAAAAAACGCCCCACGCTTCCGCGTTCGCATAATCTAACACGACTTCCGAAGTATTCTAATTTGTTTTACCAAAGTTTTAATCCACAAAATCCACAAAAAATAAGCAATATTTATTTGCTGCGGTTACAGATAATCGATAGGAGGCCGATGAGCGCGGAAAGACTTTATTACTGTCCCCTTCCTGGTGACGACGCTTATTCCGCGACTCTGATCAATCCAGCGGAAGCAGTCCGCTTCCTCCGGATCGTAGGCTCCTAACCTAAAAACCGAGCGTGTAATGACAACCTAAATTCAGTCAGAAAGCTGTTTAATGGATACGAACCCGCTTGTGGCCGATTGTTTTTGTTTGAACGGCCGATCAGCCAAGGCCAGGGCCCGTAGGTGTTCCAATAAACCGCCGTCCATTTGGTCCAAAATCATGCCTATAAGATATGGCTTCTATTAGCCAAAGTTCATGCTCCTACCCGGCCTCCGTCTCAAGAAACGAGCATGTCCAACAATATCAGAAATGTTCGATGCCTAAAAACCACGAATTCTTTGGTATAAAAGCCTATATTACCATTCGTCTGCCAAAGAAATGTATTCTATGAATGTGGTACGCGACTGATTGGTCGATGCACATCGTCGTGATTGAGATCCCTATGACCTAAGAAGGGTTTCTGTCTGCTTTTACTCGATTTGAGCGTCTTTTTTTGGTACTGGACTGTCAACGGGGGTGGATTTTAGCGGGGGGGAGGAATTTTGTTTTCCCGCCAATCTACCTCTGTTTTCAGTGGTTTTTAATTGCTATCAACTTATAAAAAATATTCTAAAAATTTACAAATCCGCTAATATGACCTTTTTGGGAATTTTTAACATATTTTTGCTCAAAATTAAAAATTTTTCGAAAATTGGCATAAGTTTAGAGGCGCTTTATGTCGAAAAACTGTGTTAACTGACATCAAAATTGTCTGTATTTCGTCATAGGGCCGTCCGGGAGCACTGGAAAAAATGCGCTGCTCCTGCTAAACCCCCCCCCGCTAACAGTCCAGTGCCCCTGTTCTCAAAAACATGGAAAATAAACAAATTAACGATGGTTTGTTTAAAAAACCAGCGTGTAGGGTACCCTACCATATATAAGCCGCATCCCAGCATCGCCATTCGGCTTTCAGGCACAATATCACCAAACCCTGAGAAAAACACGTTGTCCGAGAACAAATCTTGATACTGACCAATTGACGTCATTGTGATGAAGGACCAATAAAAAGAGTCGATCATATTATGGCCGCCGTCGCATTGGCTAAATTAATTGAATAACAGAGCATTAAAGCAAGCAAAATATATTCGGCTGACCTCATCAATCCGGTACCCAGAAAAATATAGCCGATCAAAATGAGGAAGATGGCTGTACCGGGGAGCACCGAGGGACAGGAATGACCATAGGTATATCTAAAAGTTTTTAAAACACGCATTTCGAAATTTATTATGCCGAAATTCTCTGCACAAACTTTCGACATTATCAAATTTCGACATTCTGAAACCCCGACACGATGTTTTTCGACATTATTCTAGCCAATCGACGCTTGTAGTAGTTCAAAATTAGTTTTTTTTTAAATTTGGTTGAACCTGGATGCTTACTTATGACTCAACAGTTTGCAGGCTTCAGCAAGAAACATTCCAATATCCGTCACTGTGATCAGCATTAATGGGACGCCGAGAAGGGAAGCACCGATGGATAGCAATCGGCCGGCCCTGGTCAATGGAGCGATTGTGCCATAGCCTGAGAAGGTTTTAATACACCTAATATACTGCGTTCGACGAGATGGCGTAGCTACGTAGCAAGTTTCCACTATAATCAATAAAGCGACTCCTTACCAATAGTTGTCAACATTGACACGCAAAAGAACAGAGCATTCGGAAAATTCCATTGCTCGTCCGGGCTGTAGCGCTGCTCGTACCTAATACCTAGTACCTTAGATATCAAAATAACTTAGATCGTATTTACTTTTATGATTTTACGGTCGATTTTACATAATACCGATTTACAGGATGCTTATTTTACAGAATCCGATTTACAAAATGCAGATTTTACAGAAGGCCGATTTTGCAGCCTGGCGCTAAACTTAGGCTCGCAGTAATCAATCGTAACAGCGGTTTCCATAATTCATCATTTATTTTTAATGACAAAAACAATTCAAAGTTTTTGAAAAAAATATTTTTCGAGGTTTCAAAGGAAAGAAAAGCCATAATCGGCATCATTAGAATCGGTATTCTGTAAAATCGGCATTGTGAGTATCGGCAATATATAAAATCGGCATTATGAGCCTATTCGAACTATTATCATTTCTTACCAATAAAAATGCAGCTCGGTCAAGTGGTCCAATCGTTCGAAGATGGCAAGCTGTCGCGCCATTTCCGAAGAGAAATTGCGGTGAAGGATTTCTTCAAGCCTAACAAGCAGTTCGGTATTACTAACATGTTAGTTGTTGTTTTGTTGTTAACAACGGTTTTTGCCTAACTCGGTACGTTACTAACCTTACTACGAGTATAATAACCACCTTAAAACTTCAACGGCAAACTCCCGTTGCGCGCTCGCCTTCAACACGACTTCAGCAGGCTTTTCAAAATGCAGCAATATGGATGAAACGACGATGACATACGCGAGGCAAGAGCAGGCTAACGACAGGTGGGGCAGTATCAGGCGAAGTCGCTACAAATGTAGAAAAATATTTTCAAAATAGCCGTAGTCTAAAACATGGCCTAAAGCTGAACACCTAATCAACCCTTAAATGTACTCATTTTATATTAAATTTCTAAAATAATAAGATTAGAGGCGACTATGAAGTAACGGTAGCCCTCATACGTTGAAAAGTATTCAATCAGGCTAAATTAACAGCAAATGACTCCAGTTTCCACCTGCTCTTCTTCCGGTTGCTCCTGCACAACGCTGTGGCCGGCAAGCGGGAGTTCTCGACATATCAGCCCATTTTCCACGTGCATCCCTAACTTACGCATCTGCAAAAACCCGGGGGATAATCTAAGAAAAAAACCCGAAAAAGCAACAAAAGCGAAGCGAAAAGTCCTGCGCCAAGGTCTGCACCCTTGGCGGGGGCAAGGGCTTAATTTCCCTTCAATTTCCCCTAGCTCTCCGTTGGCACGACACAAACTTCTATAAGAAGCTTTAGAACGCTTCGCGATAGCATCTAAATTGGAAAACGTGAAAAATGTGGAAATTCTGTAAATTTAGAAAAGTGATGAAGGGATAAGTCACCGAAAAAACCCGACAGGCAAAATAAGCCAATTACCAATGTGTTTATTTCCCTAAAATATGGTTAAAAACGTCTGGCTAGCAAGATTATGATGAGCGGGCAGTAATCTACGCACCCAATTACCCCTTGATACCTTTCTTTTCGACCGACAAATGATTATCTCCCACTCACCGGGCCTTTCTGAGCCATTTTGTAAAAAGTGTCTACAAGTATAGGTAAATAAGTAAGTATTTCGTACATTAGTGTGTAAATAAGGCTAGTGGTATTCCTACTGCATAGGCTTAGGCTTAGGCTTAGGCTTAGGCTTAGGCTTAGGCTTAGGCTTAGGCTTAGGCTTAGGCTTAGGCTTAGGCTTAGGCTTAGGCTTAGGCTTAGGCTTAGGCTTAGGCTTAGGCTTAGGCTTAGGCTTAGGCTTAGGCTTAGGCTTAGGCTTAGGCTTGTAGCTTAGGCTTAGGCTTAGGCTTAGGCTTGGGCTTAGGCTTAGGCTTAGGCTTAGGCTTAGGCTTAGGCTTGGGCTTGTAGGCTTAGGCTTAGGCTTAGGCTTAGGCTTAGGCTTAGGCTTAGGCTTAGCTTAGGCTTAGGCTTAGGCTTAGGCTTAGGCTTAGGCTTAGGCTTAGGCTTAGGCTTAGGCTTAGGCTTAGGCTTGTAGCTTAGGCTTAGGCTTAGGCTTAGGCTTAGGCTTAGGCTTAGGCTTAGGCTTAGGCTTAGCTTAGGCTTAGGCTTAGGCTTAGGCTTAGGCTTAGGCTTAGGCATAGGCTTAGGCATAGGCTTAGGCTTAGGCTTAGCTTAGGCTTGGGCTTACGTTCAGGCTTAGGCTTAGGCTTAGCTTAGGCTTAGGCTTAGGCTTAGGCTTAGGCTTAGGCTTAGGCTTAGGCTTAGGCTTAGGCTTAGGCTTAGGCTTAGGCTTAGGCTTAGGCTTAGGCTTAGGCTTAGGCTTAGGCTTAGGCTTAGCTTAGGCTTAGGCTTAGGCTTAGGCTTAGGCTTAGGCTTAGGCTTAGGCTTAGGCTTAGCTTAGGCTTAGGCTTAGGCTTAGTCTTAGGCTTAGGCTTAGGCTTAGGCTTAGGCTTAGGCTTAGGCTTAGGCTTAGGCTTAGGCTTAGGCTTAGGCTTAGGCTTAGCTTAGGCTTAGGCTTAGGCTTAGGCTTAGGCTTAGCTTAGGCTTAGGCTTAGGCTTAGGCTTGTGCTTAGGCTTAGGCTTAGGCTTAGGCTTAGGCTTAGGCTTAGGCTTAGGCTTAGGCTTAGGCTTAGGCTTAGGCTTAGGCTTAGCTTAGGCTTAGGCTTAGGCTTAGGCTTAGGCTTAGGCTTAGGCTTAGGCTTAGGCTTAGGCTTAGGCTTAGGCTTAGGCTTAGGCTTAGGCTTAGGCTTAGGCTTAGGCTTAGGCTTGTAGCTTAGCTTAGGCTTAGGCTTAGGCTTAGGCTTGTGGCTTAGGCTTAGGCTTGTGCTTAGGCTTAGGCTTAGGCTTAGGCTTAGGCTTAGGCTTAGGCTTAGGCTTAGGCTTAGGCTTAGGCTTAGGCTTAGGCTTGTAGCTTAGGCTTAGGCTTAGGCTTAGGCTTAGGCTTAGGCTTAGGCTTAGGCTTAGGCTTAGGCTTAGGCTTAGGCTTAGGCTTAGGCTTAGGCTTAGGCTTAGGCTTAGGCTAAGGCTTAGGCTTAGGCTTAGGCTTAGGCTTAGGCTTAGGCTTAGGCTTAGGCTTAGGCTTAGGCTTAGGCTTAGGCTTAGGCTTAGGCTTAGGCTTAGGCTTAGGCTTAGGCTTAGGCTTAGGCTTAGGCTTAGGCTTAGGCTTAGGCTTAGGCTTAGGCTTAGGCTTAGGCTTAGGCTTAGGCGTAGGCTTAGGCTTAGGCTTAGGCTTAGGCTTAGGCTTAGGCTTAGGCTTAGGCTTAGGCTTAGGCTTAGGCTTAGGCTTAGGCTTAGGCTTAGGCTTAGGCTTAGGCTTGTAGCTTAGGCTTAGGCTTAGGCTTAGGCTTAGGCTTAGGCTTAGGCTTAGGCTTAGGCTTAGGCTTGGGCTTAGGCTTAGGCTTAGGCTTAGGCTTAGGCTTAGGCTTAGGCTTAGGCTTAGGCTTAGGCTTAGGCTTAGGCTTAGGCTTAGGCTTAGCTTAGGCTTAGGCTTAGGCTTAGGCTTAGGCTTAGGCTTAGGCTTAGGCTTAGGCTTAGGCTTAGGCTTAGGCTTAGGCTTAGGCTTAGGCTTAGGCTTAGGCTTAGGGCTTAGGCTTAGGCTTAGGCTTAGGCTTAGGCTTAGGCTTAGGCTTAGGCTTAGGCTTAGGCTTAGGCTTAGGCTTAGGCTTAGGCTTAGGCTTGTAGCTTAGGCTTAGGCTTAGGCTTAGGCTTAGGCTTAGGCTTAGGCTTAGGCTTAGCTTAGGCTTAGGCTTAGGCTTAGGCTTAGGCTTAGGCTTAGGCTTAGGCTTAGGCTTAGGCTTAGGCTTAGGCTTAGGCTTAGGCTTAGGCTTAGCTTAGGCTTAGGCTTAGGCTTAGGCTTAGGCTTAGGCTTAGGCTTAGGCTTAGGCTTAGGCTTAGGCTTAGGCTTAGGCTTAGGCTTAGGCTTAGGCTTAGGCTTAGGCTTAGGCTTAGGCTTAGGCTTAGGCTTAGGCTTAGGCTTAGCTTAGGCTTAGGCTTAGGCTTAGGCTTAGGCTTAGGCTTAGGCTTGTGCTTAGGCTTAGGCTTAGGCTTAGGCTTAGGCTTAGGCTTGTAGCTTAGGCTTAGGCTTAGGCTTAGGCTTAGCTTGGGCTTAGGCTTAGGCTTAGGCTTAGGCTTAGGCTTAGGCTTAGGCTTAGGCTTAGGCTTAGGCTTAGGCTTAGGCTTAGGCTTAGGCTTAGGCTTAGGCTTAGGCTTAGGCTTAGGCTTAGGCTTAGGCTTAGGCTTAGGCTTAGGCTTAGGCTTAGGCTTAGGCTTAGGCTTAGGCTTAGGCTTAGGCTTAGCTTAGGCTTAGGCTTAGGCTTAGCTTAGGCTTAGGCTTAGGCTTAGGCTTAGGCTTAGGCTTAGGCTTAGGCTTAGGCTTAGGCTTAGGCTTAGGCTTAGGCTTAGGCTTAGGCTTAGCTTAGGCTTAGGCTTAGGCTTAGGCTTAGGCTTAGGCTTAGGCTTAGGCTTAGGCTTAGGCTTAGGCTTAGGCTTAGGCTTAGGCTTAGCTTAGGCTTAGGCTTAGGCTTAGGCTTAGGCTTAGGCTTAGGCTTAGGCTTAGCTTAGGCTTAGGCTTAGGCTTAGGCTTAGGCTTAGGCTTAGGCTTAGCTTAGGCTTAGGCTTAGGCTTAGGCTTAGGCTTAGGCTTTAGGCTTAGGCTTAGGCTTAGGCTTAGGCTTAGGCTTAGGCTTAGGCTTAGGCTTAGGCTTAGGCTTGTAGCTTAGGCTTAGGCTTAGGCTTAGGCTTAGGCTTAGGCTTAGGCTTAGGCTTAGGCTTAGGCTTAGGCTTAGGCTTAGGCTTAGGCTTAGGCTTAGGCTTAGCTTAGGCTTAGGCTTAGGCTTAGGCTTAGGCTTAGGCTTAGGCTTAGGCTTAGGCTTAGGCTTAGGCTTAGGCTTAGCTTAGGCTTAGCTTAGGCTTAGGCTTAGGCTTAGGCTTAGGCTTAGGCTTTAGCTTAGGCTTAGCTTAGCTTAGGCTTAGCTTAGGCTTAGGCTTAGGCTTGTGCTTAGGCTTAGGCTTAGGCTTAGGCTTAGGCTTAGCTTAGGCTTAGGCTTAGGCTTAGGCTTAGGCTTAGCTTAGTGCTTAGGCTTAGGCTTAGGCTTAGGCTTAGCTTAGGCTTAGGCTTAGGCTTGGGCTTAGGCTTAGGCTTAGCTTAGCTTAGGCTTAGGCTTAGGCTTAGGCTTAGGCTTAGGCTTAGGCTTAGGCTTAGGCTTAGCTTAGGCTTAGGCTTAGCTTAGGCTTAGGCTTAGGCTTAGGCTTAGGCTTAGGCTTAGGCTTAGGCTTAGGCTTAGCTTAGGCTTAGGCTTAGGCTTAGGCTTAGGCTTAGGCTTAGGCTTAGGCTTAGGCTTAGGCTTAGCTTAGGCTTAGGCTTAGGCTTAGGCTTAGGCTTAGCTTAGGCTTAGGCTTAGGCTTAGGCTTAGGCTTAGGCTTAGGCTTAGGCTTAGGCTTAGGCTTAGGCTTAGGCTTAGGCTTAGGCTTAGTCTTAGGCTTAGGCTTAGCTTAGGCTTAGGCTTAGGCTTAGGCTTAGGCTTAGGCTTAGGCTTAGGCTTAGGCTTAGGCTTAGGCTTAGGCTTAGGCTTAGGCTTAGGCTTAGGCTTAGGCTTAGGCTTAGGCTTAGGCTTAGGCTTAGCTTAGCTTAGGCTTAGGTTTTGCTTAGGCTTAGGCTTAGGCTTAGGCTTAGGCTTAGGCTTAGGCTTAGGCTTAGGCTTAGGCTTAGGCTTAGGCTTGTAGCTTAGGCTTAGGCTTAGGCTTAGGCTTTAGCTTAGGCTTAGGCTTAGGCTTAGGCTTAGCTTAGGCTTAGGCTTAGCTTAGGCTTAGCTTAGGCTTAGGCTTAGCTTAGGCTTAGGCTAGGCTTAGGCTTAGGCTTAGGCTAGCTAGCTTGTGCTTAGGCTTAGGCTTGTGCTAGGCTTAGGCTTAGGCTTAGGCTTAGGCTTAGGCTTAGGCTAGCTTAGGCTTAGTAGCTTAGGCTTAGCTTAGGCTTAGGCTTAGCTTAGGCTTAGGCTTAGGCTTAGGCTTAGGCTTAGGCTTAGGCTTAAGCTTAGGCTTAGGCTTAGGCTTAGGCTTAGGCTTAGGCTTAGCTTAGGCTTAGGCTTAGGCTAGGCTTAGCTTAGGCTTAGGCTTAGGCTTAGGCTTAGGCTAGGCT